TGGTTTTCATATGATTTTTGGGGGAGAATGCAAGTAAAATGTGTAGATCTATGTTATATGCATGTTTTTGTGTGAATTCTTCTTAGTTTATTGGTAAAAATGTGTTAGATCTTAGCAAATCTCTCGAAAGTTTAAGTAATATTGAACAAAGATCTATGAACTATGACATTATATCATCACATTAAAAGCCAAAAGTGATTACATGTTTAAGATACAAAAGATTTCAAACAAAACCCTTTTAAAGGTCAAAAATTGTCAAGAAAACAAAAGATAAGGGCAAAAAGTGACATTTATGTTTTTATAGGGACCAAACAGGTCCTACTTGTATAAAAAGGGATTTTTATGATAAACATACTTTCCAAAGGGCCAAAAATGTAAATTTTAGCTTAATGGGCCAAACTTTTGGGCCTCACGGTTTTGGGCCCAAATTTGCGAAAAAGGAAAGTTTTTGGGACTAAAAATGTCATTTGAGCAAAATTTGAGTCATAAATGTAAATAAACCAAATTTAGGGGTGAAATAACATTTATTTCTAATTGGACCAAAAATGTAACTTTATCAAAATTGGGCCGAAAGTGTAATCTTTACAAACAATGGGCTGAAAATGCACTTTCTGCAAAACTGGACCTAAATGTCAAAATATATTTTTTGGACTAAAACCGTGAATTTCTAGACATTTGGGACAAAATTACAATTTTTTACAAATTATGGACTAAAGTGTCATTTTTACAAACTTTGGGCCTTAATTGAAAATTTTGGAACTTATCGACCAAGAACACCGTTTTCACAAAAGAGGACTTTTTTTATATTCAATTCAGTAAATCTCGAACTAAAACAAATATCGAAATGATAATAAATGGACGTAATACAACGATAACAAATTTATTGAGCCTAATATTCACGTTACGTGGCCAATGGGCCTTAAGGGCCCATTCAAGTGTATATTGAGCCCAATATTTTCCATGACATGTTTATTGGGCCTTGCGACCCATTTACATGTTAATTTGGGCCTGAGTTATGGGCCACATGTTTGTTGGGCCTTTTTTGTCCATTTACATGCCAATTGGGCCCAAATTACCCACTTACATGTTATTGGGCCTTTGTGACCCATTTACATGTTAATTGGGCTTGGACTGAAATTTACATGTTTAGTAGATTGAAATTATACCTTTACATAACTATTGAACTTTGTATACTTATATATGTACCTTTGGATTTGATAACATACAACATACACGTAAACATTAAACATAGTACGAAAGGTTGAGAATCTAGTGAGACGTGTCGGTTGGCACCTTTGAGTGTACAATCGTAGCTTGTAGTTATAATCAGAGTCTCCTGGAGGGAGAGCGAGAGTTTGTGTATAGATCTATACGGGTGACCCCCCACGCCTTAGTTGTTCGCTACAACTAGACTAGGCCAGTCTAGGGCGACAAAACCTTGAGCAAATACCGGCATTTGGAAAAATGTTAAGACAGGCAACCTAGTCATTATCATGTATGATTATAACGACTCATATAGAGATCCAATACCAAAAATTAACACTTCGGAGATTAACCCTTCGATTGTGTCAATACAAAATAACTTATTTAACGATACAAGAACCTCGACATTACTATAAATCAGAAAATATCGGATTTTCTGGGGAAATATTCATATACAATTATCACTACTTCCTTACATACAAATCTAAACTACATCCATATATGTTACAACTAATAAATTCACACATGCATTTATACTTGATTTTCACATCATTTTCAGACATTTTACAGAAAATATCGGATTTTCTGGGTTTTTACAAAGGATTCAAAGACTTTTATTCAAACACACTTATGAACTCACCAACATTATATATGTTGACCGTTTTCAAAATAACTTGTATTCTCAGGAGCATGAAGATTTTCAAGTGTGTATGGTTTCATTTATGTAACATCACTCATCGTACTTTTAATATTTTAGAACTTATGTATTTATAACAATGTACTTGATGTGAACAATGCTGTTGTTATATGTAATGTTGGTGGTGAATGTGTGATGTTTCATATATATTTATTGTGATGATAATTCAATTGTTAGTCACACGAGCCCCTGACGTTTCCGCCGTCTGGTTCGGGGGTGTGACAAAGATAAGATTCCATATAACAAAAGACTCCTTTTTTGTGGGAATTGCGTTTCCTTTAATATATTTCTTGTGCATTAAGATAGAATCTCTTACTCTTTTATTATATATCGATATCCCTCTATGTGAAGGATTATTGATTAAGAGTGTATTTTCTAATAAGAGTATGCTCTCTGATTACCTATTGGCTATGAAACTATTCTATTCATTAAACGAATTAGTTTCAAAAGTATTGTCGTTCGTTTATGTTGTGTTTTATCCAAAATCGTTTACCCAAAAATGCTAATAACGATAACAGAAACTTTAAAAATATAATAAACGTAAAACTCTTTTTAACCCACCAAGGATCATTTTGCAAAGAATGGAAAGATTACTAAAACCATAGAAAAAAAGAGCTAAAACCTTTAAATACTTTGATTCCTCTCGGGAGGTTAGAAGTTGATGAAAATGGAAAACGACTCAAAATAGAGCTTCTCTAGAAGTTTCCACCAAGCAAGAGTAAACCACTTCAAGATGACAGTCTTCACTTGTATTAAGTTGTTCTCAATCCATTAAGACTTATACCAAATAAGCCTTAAGGAGAAGCAAATTACTAACCTTTAATTCAAGCACGGAATTTCAAGAATAAGTAGATAGAGAGAGGCTAGAAAGCCCTCAGAATTGGCAACCAACAAAGGGAGAAAAAGATCCAAAAGAACAACCCTTTTCTACTAGCTAAACACTCTTTTTATACATACATTTATATACAAAGTCAAGGCAATCATTAAAGGAAAGCATGGTCTTTCTTACAAGCACATGATGAAGGTAAAACAAACACAACACTCCAACCCCACTCACCTTTAGAAAGCTACAATTTTAAGGGATGATGGGAAGGTTTGTGTGATCTTCACTCAAGCTTGTAACTTGATGGTTATAAGTAGTAACTAGATGGTTACTCAAAGTGTCCATTTAATTTTTGAACAACATATATATTCATACCTTATAGATATAACTAGCTTTGTTCTCTATTATTATCATTTCCTAGAAATAATAATTTCTCAATTTGTCATTAAAATATTATTTTCATAAAATAATAATTCTCCAAATAAATACAAGTGTTGATTATATTTATTAATAATCAAATTACTTTAATAAACAATCAATTAGTAGTAACTTGTTATTAGGTGTGACCCTATCTGATTATATGTCATTAGAAAATATCATTCTATAATGACTCTTGGGCATAAAGATCTTTCAGTTTATTGTTTGCATTAACTTGTTGCTTCTGTTGTTTAGGTCCTATAGTGCATATAAAGGAGGCTGCTTTATCCTTTGACAAAGAGTTATATAAGTCGATTGAGGACTTAGTGGTTCGTGGATGTACCTTATTCAAAGACATCTAGTGGCGACTTGCTTCTTTACACATTCATTGTGGTGGTTTAGGGTTGTAATCTACTCTAGAGGCTTCCTCCTACATTTTTATGGCTTCTTTACACATTCAATGTGGTGGTTTGGATGTTATATGACCACATCTTATGAGACACTTGTGTATGTGGTACAAATTCTGACTATGTTTTTTATTTGGCTTGTCTTCGTGATACGATCTCGTCCTTTGGACTTAATGTTTTTTCTACTAAGGACACCGCCCCCTCAATCCCAACATGCATTGGCGAGTTCTCTCTTTAGCGAAATTTTCGAGGGCATGTAAATAGACATTGATATGTCAATTAGACATAAGACAATTTTTGAGTGTCTAAAAGCATCACCCGCTTAAGATTTTTCTTCTTGTTATCCTAATAGATGGTTTCGGCCAAACATATGTTGCCTCATATAGTATCAGACTATCCTTAAGTATCGCCTCGTGATCCATTTATTTTCTATTGACGAGATATGATCAATTTATTGTAAAGCCTACTTAGACTCCATTGGAGACTACGCAATACATTATCAAGAGCTCCCAGGCTTTAAATACCGACATGATATGGTTGTGGATGTTCTTTGACATATTTAAAAGGGCCATGTTTTAGCTAAGAAAAAAGCACCCGTGAACTTCCTGACTGATCTGTTGGATGGAAGATCAATACTTAGACCGACAAATATTTTGGTTTTTGGATGGATAAAAGAGAAGCATGCTTGTGTAGATCTAGCAGGAGTTCCCCTTAGTGGGCTTGAGCAGTGAGGGTTTCATTGCTAGTCAAGCTGCTTTGAAAACGGCCTCAAGTAAAGTGGTCAAACACAAAAAATCTTGTATTAATAATCAACACGTATTTATACAATTTTCTTTTGATACATTTGATTTCCTAGCACCTGAAGAAGTGCACATTCTCAAACGAGTGCAACGGGTCATGCATTATGATGTTACGACCCAAAGATCCATGGACGTAGTATTTAAAAGAGTTGGTTTTGCAATCTACAAATGGATAGCAACGCAACTTGTTGCCCGTTAAATTTCGATATCGTTACAATTTTATATAGAAATAACAATTGTAATAAGTTTTTATATGACATTTGTCAACAAGCTGACAAACGGTCAACAAGCGGTGCCGCTAAGCCTTTTTGTATGGTAAAGCAAATTCTTTTGAAAACTACATCCATAGATCTAGGAGATAAGAACATTGTTGTGCATGATCCGTTGTACTCTATTAAGAAACTCCATACCATCCGACGCGAGGAAACCAAACGTATGAAATAGATATGGACCGTCTTTATAATTTTTTTTTGGTTTGTTTATATACCTTAGTTTGTATTTCGAGGTGAATGCTTGAATCATCCAAAATGTATTGTTTAAACGTTTCCGAAATAATTTGGGCCAATCTACATAAAAAGATCCATGTGAGTCATTGTCAATAGTGATTAGTGAACAGTCAAATCTCCAAAGACAGGCCCATCGAGAAGGTTGATGAAGGGAAAACCGGCAAGATCAATTACCATTTACGAATCATCATCACATTCACCTCTTCCCCCGTTAATTGGAGAAGTCAATTCCATTTGCAACCAACATCATGTCATGGTTGCCTCGCTCAATTGCTAATTCTCTCCTAATCGATGGAGAAGATGAAGATGAAGGTGATCGCCCCACCGTCGCAAACGATTACAACAACCACCTCCCTCAATCTCAATCTGTAACAGAACAAGAATTCAACCCAAACCAAGACGGATCAGATCCTCAAACCCTAACAACAGGTCTGAAAGAAGATCTTTCCGAGTTTACAGATACCTTAGCGCGTCAACTCTGGGGCGTCGCTTCCTTTCTTGCTCCTCCTCCTCCTTCTCCTCCTCCTCCTCCACCACCTCCGCCACCACTACCACTTCGTCACAGTTCTCGCACAACCCCCAAACCCGATACATCCGCATCTATTCGAAGAGATTCCTCTGACGGTGATAATATCTCGAATTCAATATGCGAAGATTCGAGATTTGGGGGTGAAACTGGAGTTTCGAATTCATCTATATATCCGAATGATAACAAAGAGGACAACCATACGGATTTTGTTGGTGTTACCGACGAAGTCTTGGCATTCGCCATGAATATAGCACATCATCCTGAGACGTGGTTGGATTTTCCTTTAACAGAAGAAGAAGAACTTGATGGTAATTCAATTGCTTTTAGTTCTGTTTCATATGATATCCTCTTTTACTTTCATTTGCTTGAATTCCAGTCATTCCTAACTGTTCATGTGGAATTGAATATTTTGAATACTTGACCTTCCCAAGAAAAAAATCTATACCAACAAAACTGAACCAAAAGCCATAGGGCTAAACGCAAGAAATAACAATGTACTTCCATTTACATATAAAATTCTACCTAAATATAAGATTGTACTTTCAATTTTCTTTTTCCTATTATCACTGTGAAAATGCTTTGTATTTCAAATTTCAATGACTAATTGGTAGAATCTTCGAGTTACAATGAAAGTAAGATGTTACAATAATCAAAGCAATGAACCACTCTGAACATTTTCTATTCCCATTCTGCAATATCAAATAAAGGTGCAAACTTTTAAAACTTTAACCTATAACACATTCCACCTACCTCCACTGCTATGTTGAAGTCGATATCAGGTTTTGAAGTCTTTTTTATAGCTTTCTAATCCTTTTTAGTCTGGGATATTATCATATTACAATTACAAATAATTACGAATTGATTTTAATCTGAGATATCAACTTTGTAACCAACCATTTTTACAAGATACCAATTTCTAAATCTTTTTATATCACCAAAAGGTACAATAATACACATTACTCCCAACACAGAAGATTGTATATTATACTTTACTCCCAACACGAAAGATGGAACAGAAACTCATCATGGTCTCTTGTCTGTTTAAATGACGAAAATGCCCTCTAAGTAGCTCTGAAAAATCTTGCACAACTATATGAGCTGCTATAATGACAAATATTTTTAATGTTGTTTTATGAATTTTTTTTTTTAAAACTTTAATTATAGATTTTGAAATGTCGGACACTCAATGGAACCATGCAAGTTTTGTGGAACATGTAGTACCGAGATTAGCTGCTCTTAGAATCGAACTTTGTCCGATTCACATGAGCGAGAGTTACTTTTGGAAGGTCTACTTTGTTTTATTGCATTCCAGGCTCAATAAACATGATGCCCGTCTTCTATCAACACCCCAGGTATTCATTTTCTGTGACTGTGACTGTGACTGTGACTGTGATTGTGACTGATGAACTGGCTAATTGAATTTACAGATAGTTGCAGCGCGGGCTATGTGGATGAAGGAGTTGCAAATCGAGATGAAGTCGAAACCAGATTTTTTGGAGGGAAATACTTCCCACACATTGAATTGTCATCAAGATTTTAGTGCCACGTCATCGGACTTTGTTTCCACAACTCATCACACAGTTGCAGCTGGGAAACAACCAGTTGTGGAGAAGTATGAGACAAAGGGTCGCGGGGTTCCATCAATTGAGAGTTTTGGTGATGATGAAGGGGTTCCATCAATTGAGAGTTTTGGTGATGATGAAGACGATTGGATACATGAAAACAATTCAGAGTTAGATGGATATAATAATTATGGGGTTGATGTTCCTGTTGGAGCCCATGATGACATTTCATTTAGTGATCTTGAGGATGATGACTGTACTCTGCCAATAAGATCCAAGGTTATCTGAGGGGGGTTGTTTGGTTTGTCATTGTTAAAATTACTCAAATACCCCTTTCACCCCAAGGGCATTTCGCCTCTCCTTTCTCCATGTGGATTCATGGATTCATCCCAATTCCTGCCAAAAATGTCTAAAAAGCAAACGCAAGATTGGATTTGACATGAATTGGAAATATATTCCATTCCCAAATGTGTTTTGGTTGCAAGTGAGTATGGAATTGAATTACAAAGTCCGATGGATGGACTTCAACATTCCATTCCAATATCTTAAAACCCATGAAATTTTATTCCAAACATATCCTCTTTGTTAAAATTACTTAAATACCCTTTTAATCCTAGAATTAAACAAGTGTGCTTTTCCCTCTTTGGCATGAATTGGAATTTAACTCCATTCCAATCATGTATTTGCCTATTTGGTTGCAGCCTTACAGCTTCGGAATTGAATTGTGTGGAAATTATAAAATCATTTAAGCAATGGATTTCAATATTTTATCCTAAAAAGCATGGAATTCAATTCTTCGCATATTGTTCTTGTTAAATTCCATTCCATTTTCTTCCAGCCAAAAGCATGACAACATTCAAATTCCTACATATCCAAATTCAATGATCCGATTCCGATTCTTTCCAGAACATTCCACCAAGACTACTTCGCAGTCAAAGCATCAAAGGGGTAATATGGTCATCATTTTTTCAGAGGTGGAATCTCGACGCAACAAGTGTATAGGTTTTCTTTCAGTCCATGTTTCTGTAGGTTGTACTCAAACTTATAAGAATTTCTGAATCTGTAAAGATAAGATACACACACAACGAAGATAAGTTCTAGTTTCATTAAAATTGTATTTGATCGTCTACTCGCATTACATAGATCGCAAAATTTATGAAGGAAAAAAAGTTTTAAGGATGATGGCGATTGGAATGGGGTAGTTCTTGGGTGTAGATATAATCAAGATGAGCTTCATCAAATGTCTTCCTCATCAACCATTCATCTTTCCCCTCCACTTCAACATCCTGCAATTCAATTCAAAATAAACATCGAAAATTGTTAAAATTGTTGAAAACCAAAAAATTTATCGATCCTCTAAATTGTTCGGAATAAGAAAATCGGTATTCACTAATTCAGATCGCAATTATTTGCGGGCATGTTAAATCCTCTTGATCAGGTTACTGGCGAGACTGATTCGCTCACATATACTGAAACTTTAATAGGTATATATTTAATGAGATTAAGTTTGTTTGCTAACCTTGAGTTGTGGAGTTGTCACCGGAGAAGTATCCTTGGTCGGCCGAGCAGCGCATTTTAGCATGAAGAAAAGGAGGAGAACCGTCATGAAGAGGCTGCCGACTTTCGCCATCGACGATTGATGCAGAGGTGGATGCTTTTGGGGATGATTGTATGTTTATATTCAGGCGGTGCTGTTAATGTGATATACGCAACGCATGCTCTTCAACCTCCACTCCCTAAAGTTGAAAGATAAAAATGAAAGTTAAAATTTTTATTTTGGGGAAAACAACAAAGGTAATAATTTTTTATTTTATTTATACTTAAGGCAATTTTTTTTATATAATTTACCGTCAAACTTATTAGATTTGTTTAAGGGACAATTACTAATTTAGCCAAATTAAAAAAGTGATTAACAATTTTTAGCCAAAAATTAGTAAATGTCCAAATATAGCCACGAAACCGTATGTTTTTATATTCGTCTACTGTTTCGCTAATTCGTCTATTTTTTCGTGTTTTGTATAATATATATATATATATATATATATATATATATATATATATATATATATATTCATTTCTAAGATACAAAACCGTAGGTTTTTCAAAACCTACGGGTTCCTCTCGGTTTAGCTATGTTTTCCTAAACCGTAGCCTACGGTTTTGGGGAAAAAATAAGTTTTTTTTTTTTTTTTTTTTTTTTTTTTAAGTCTACTGTTTTGGGGTTTAATCTACTGTTTTGTCAAAAAGCTACGGTTTTATTATTATTATTATTATTATTATTATTTTTTGTGATATAGAGTATTAAAAAGAGTGTTTATAAGATGTAGAATTATTTTAACAATTATTTTGTTAAAATTTTTTGAGAATTCAAAGCAGTAGACTTAAAAAAAAATAAATAAAAAATAAATAAATAAAAATGTATTTTTTTTTTGTGATATAGAGTATTAAAAAGAGTGTTTATAAGATGTAGAATTATTTTAACAATTATATTGTTTATAAAATGTAGAGTTGTTTTTTGACAATTATTTTGTTAAAAATATTTTTCGTAAAATATAAACTAGTTTTTTAAGAATTAATACAATAATTTTTTGCTAAATTATAGATTATTTTTTTGAATTTGTTGACTGATTTTTTTGGTAAATTGTCTACGTTTTTGGTAAACTTAACTACTTTTTTGTCAGAGTTGAATAATGTTTTGCTAAACTTGACTACTTTTTTGTCAGAGTGGAAACCTACGGTGTACAACCCTTTAATGCACAAACTGTGCATTAAATTGTTGTACACCGTAGGTTTCCAGAAAACTTACGGTTTCATTATTATTATTATTTTTTTTGCGTTTTATGAAAAAAAAATCATCAATATATTACATATATACAATTCCGACTGTGTAGTATCAAATTTTAAAAAAAACGAAAAAAAATATATTTTTCCGTACGGTTCATACGAAACCGTAGGTGTACAAGTCGACAATGCACAATCTATGCATTGCTCACTTGTACACCGTAGGTTTCGTATGAAACCTACGGTTTTATTTTATTTTTTTCGATTTTTTTCAAAAAAAAACTTAACCATATATACAAAATCTACTTCTAATCACGAACACGGTAAAATTTTGATGAAAAGTAGACAAACCTGTTTGTTCTTCGGGTGCTCCATTGAGAGAAAAAAGTAGCCAAACCAACAAAACAACAGAAAAAAATGACCTAATCTGAAAATTTTTACATTATATACTTTGGGTTAATGGGTCACGAAAAAGTTAACGGGCCCGTGAAACAGTAGCCCATTAGAGGAAAAGAGTAATCAACTACGTAAAAGAGTAGTCAACTGTAGGTTGACTACTTTTTGTGGGTTATTTTTGGCTAAGTGAATTTTTTTGGTTAGTTTTTGTTAAGTAATTAAAGATTTTGATTAGATTTGTATTTTCCCCTTTGTTTAAATATTATCATTGTGATTATCGTAGCTTATAATAATAATATTTAAACCTATAGTCTATCGTATATAAAAACAGGTGTAACAGTGAACAAAAGGAAAAATTCATTATCCTCCTACATGATTTTCCTTTTTTTCTAGGATGTTTATAATGGGTTGAAATCAATTCAAAAGCCACAATCACATATTTAACTTTTTATGACTCAAACATAAACCAAAAAAGTAAGGCATATGCTCTTCTACGGTTGAGATTGGTCCAAGAAGTCGTACTTTGAACTCGATCTCCGTAGTTACAGTTAATACTTCTAGCCAATATGTATTCGAGAAGTAGAACTTGAAGAGAAGTCAAGGACCGTTTGATTTTTATTTTATTTTATTTATTTATTTTTTTTTTCAAATTAGGTGCACTCAAAATACAACCTGTAAACTCTAGGGTTTTCTATAAAGAAAGATTAGGTGTTAAACCCGTGTATTATACGGTTTGATTAAAAAAATATTAAATATTAAAGTGTAACATTATATATTTTTTAAAATAAAATTTGGAATAAAGAAGGAAGAAACATATTCATTGCAAATTATGTCACATTTATTACAATAAATACTTTACGTATGTAAGTATAAGTATTATTTGACTTTTTAATTTTAAAATTTGAAAAAATCCATAAAATGACATGTGGATATTATTTATTCTAAAAATACTACAAAATGACAAGTGTCAAAACTCATAAGAGATTGATAAGTGACAAAAAAAAACCTTTATTTATTAGAGAGAACTAGACTAGATATGAGACCCATGTATTACATGAGTTTATTTATAAAAAAAAACTAAATACAAAATTCTAAACATTTGAAAAGTATGAATTTATAAGAAAAGTAAGAAAATATTGAATTATAAAAATTAAAGTGTTTTTTTTCTCTTTTAAATTTAAACAAATAATTTAGATAAATAAATAAAGAAATTAATGAATCTTTAATTTGGTAATTTTGAAATTAGAAGGAAAGTTCATTAATGAAATTGATATACATTTATTATTGAATATAAATACTATCTACAATTTAATAAAATGAAAAAAAACCATAAAATGACATGTGGAATAAAAATTAATTTAAAATAACCACAAAATTACGTGTGCCAAAATAAATGAGAATGTAACATGTGGCAAAAAGATCTTTATTTATTAGGGAAGATTAGTTATACACCATTAGTCATGTATGATGCCAGCAAATTAATGAAAAGTTATGTCATCATAAAAATCTACATAACGAACAATAATAGATAATAGCGACAATGTCATTCATTTGCAAACATGAGTGAATTTTTTATAACAAAAATAAATGTGATGATTAAAAAAAAAGGCAAACCGATAAGAACCAGAAAATTAAGCAAGCAACTGATTCAAACTTTGATAAAAGAAAAGCCAAATTCGAGATGGTAGGTCCCCAGTACAAACAAGATAACAAAAATTGAATAATTAAACAAGTGAACTAAAAAAACAAAGCATGTTAAAGTTTTAGAAACTGATGTTAACTGCTTTTGAAGTGAAGGCCTGAACTGCTCCTCTCCCTTCAGTTTTCTCGATATTTGTTGACCAATGGGTCCACCCAAAATCCGAAAATAGTATTAAATTGCTCCTGATCTGTTGCTTTGACCCGTGTCTTTTTCCTAGTGTATAATGTAACGGTTGGCTTGCTTCTATAACACAACGATGGGTCCATCCACAAGTCGTTGATACCAAGATACCAGTAATTCTAGCACCGGTTGTCCTGCTTCTATAACACAATGATGATCTACAATAGTAGCAGGTTGGACATCAATTTCCCAGTCTTTTGTTATGGGTAATGACGCGATTGAACCAGAAGAGAAGGCTCTTTATTTAGAATTAGCTTGATTGCGCATGCGATCCTGAGCCTTAGTGAGATTGAAGCGAAGAAGTTTTAACATATCATCACGATCGATCAGTTGTTGTTCCAACTCAACACTTTTTGTTTCCCCTTTGACACACGGCAAGAGAGATGGAGGATCCCGTCCGTAAACAACCGAGAAAGGTATAGTGCCCGTAGAGGTATGATATCCTGTGTTATACGAGTACTCTGCCCATACTATGTAAGAGCTCCATTTGGTTGGTTGTTCATGAGCAAAACAAGTTAAGTAGGCTTCGAGACATCGATTGAGTACTTCAGTTTGACCATTCGTCTGAGGGTGGTATAGCTGCAGCTTGATTTGATTTAGACGAAAGTGTTCCTACCAAAAGGTACTTCAAAAAATAACATCCCGGTCAGAAATTATGGAACGAGGGAACCCATGTAGACGAATGATTTCCCTACAAAATATGGCAACCACACTTTTGGCTGAAAAAGGGTGAGATAAGCATAGGAAATGGGCATATTTACTCAGACGATCCATGTCACAACTAGCAATTTAGGGCTAAAATTTCTACCTTTGTACAAGATGATGTCTTTGTGTAATCTTGTAACCCTACTTTGTTATAAGCCAAATTTCAATACTATACATGTTTATGCATTCAAAATTGTGTTTCAAGTCGAAACTTCCTCGTGCAAGCCCAAAAATCTAACCCAATAAGCTATGTTCACTCAACTTTAGATCTTAACCCAAGCCTTCTCGGTCCAAACCTCTTAATGGACCAAGACTCTCTTATTGGGCCTTATTGGGCCGTGAACATCTTTGTTGGACCATAGTGAGCCAAATACCTCCATTAGGCATTATTTTGGGCCGAAAACCCTCTAATGGGCTTCATAAGGCCGAAAATCACTATTGGGCCCTTATTGGGCCGAAGACTCTTTCAGTTAACCTTTTTGGGCTGAAAAACCCATATATGGGCCCTAATGGATCAAAAATCTTTATTGGGCTTCCTCACCCAAAACGAAAATCCTTATTGGGCCTAATACATTTCTTTTGGCCTAGTATCGAACCGAAACCATTCTTGGGCCCGAACCAAGCCCAAAACCCCGAAAACACTAATGGGCCTAGGGGTTCTCGGTTGCCCTTCAAGCCCAAAAATATTTTCTTTCTCCCCTCTCTTTGGGCCGATCGGTTAGCCCAGTTGTAAAAAAAAAGATTATGGGATAATGTAAGTAGCCACCTCATTATTGCACATCATTTATCCATGCAAATACTTCTCATGTAACAAGAAACTTCACATCCATTCTAGTCTAAAGTCAAACCCTATCACTCCCTCACCCTCCCCCCTTATCGTCCGAACTACCCCCTAACCCCTCTCCACCTTTCATTTCAAACTCACCCACATTTATCTCATCC